CCCCGTGGGCTTTCATAGTTGTGTGTCCCTCAAAGGTCCACGTGTTAAAGTTTGGGTTCCCAGGGTGGTGCTATTAGGAGGTGGTGGAGACTTTAGGGGGTGCGGCCTGGCAGGAGGTCCTGAGGTCATCGAAGATGTTCCCTCCAAGGGATTCCAAGCCAGGTACAGTGGTGCACACCTGTAATCCCAACTACTCAGATGCAGAGACAGGAGGATAGCAAAGTTGAGGCCAGCCTGGGCAACACAATAAAATCCTGTTTTAAAATAAAATTTTAAAACAGGATTTGGGATGTAAAGTCAGTTTGCAAGGCCCCGGATTCAATTCCCAGTGCTGGGGGAAAGAGGAGGACAGGTTGAAATTGCAAGCCCCTGGTCTCTTCCTCTTCTGTTTTGCTTCCTGCCTCAAGTGGTAAGCACTGTGCTCCACCAACGTGCTCCTGAACGTTGCACCTGGCACCCCCACCAGACGCAAATGGGTGAGGCCAATGCAATGGGTTTACCCAATTTGGGGCTGGAAGCTCCAAAACAGTGAGCCAAAATAAACTTCTTCTCCTTATGGTTAATTATCTCAGGTATTTCATTACAGTAACACCAGGCTGACTAACATATGCAGCACTACTGTGGCCACAGATAAATAGCACACCTGTATGAGAAGCACATGGGTCTCTCCACTGCTGCTGGACCTGGAGCAGCCCACCATGGTCAGTAAGGAGGAAGTGATGGACATCTGTTAACCGCCTGTCACAGGCCCAAGTCTTCCCAGGCCACCGAAATTGACTCACATCTGTTCCAGTCCCTGGGGCTGTGAGTCTAGAATTCTACTCCCATCTCCCTTGTCACCGGCTTTTCTACACCCCAAAATTTGAGGATGCAACTACTACAACAGGGACATATGTTCCCAAACAGCAAACAAGACTCTTTTGGTGCCCGCTGGACCCCAGTACGCGTGGAGAGACATGAGGCCTGTCCACTTTCTATAGTAACCAGCAAGAATGGGAGTAATCACCCTGTTTCCACACTCATGCAGGCTGTGAGTGCCAGGCCTGGTGAGGGCAGAGGGCTGCCCATGGGCTGCAATAATGTAAGCCTCGTCTTAGGGCAGGTGATTCCACAGTTTATACATCTGTTTGGAGCACTCGAACAATGAATGACAGCAAGACAAATTTCTCAAGTATATTTCAAGATAAAATCTGATCACAGCTATGAATCTGCAGAACTCGAATGGAAGCCCCTGGGGAAAGGAGACGCCCATCCTGGGTGTCTGGCTTTGCTCTGCTAATAGAACCCAAGGGACTGAGGGCCTGTCATTTAAACCTGCAGGCCCAGAACGCCACCCAGAGAGCAGTGGCGTGTTTTAAAGTCAGCATGATTGGGCCTAATTTGGTTCAGGAGCTGTCTGCCGTGCAAAGTGTCCTTCTGTGACAATTAAAACAGCACAAACACCTCCTTCATCTTCATTGCCACCTAAGGGGCCACCACGGCTGTAGAAGAGACTCTCGAGTGGTAACACAAGGAGGACAAGAATTAAGAAAAAGAATTATGGCCACGTCCACTGTCCCCACATCAGAGGCAACACGGTGATCCTAAGCCCTGAAGACGGCGGGAGCCGCACTGCATGCTGTCAGCGGATCACCTGACACACATCCACTTGTTGCATATTAAATCACACAATCCTTTTAGAGCAATTAATATTTTAGAAGGAAAACAGTGTGCTGAGCCACATCCCGTATTCTACTCGTCCCAGGAGGCAGGAAAGAACACGTTTTCTTAAACAAAAACATCTGATCCTCGGTCACCCGAGCCTAATGGAATGCCTGTCGGCACAGGCAGAACACCACTCAACACACCAGCCAAGTGGAGAAGCCTTTAGAAACCCCCCACGCACCCCCGGGGAAGCTGGCTCTTTGGAGCTATTCCTCTGCCATTAATGCAATTACCCCTCTACTCACCAAGCTGTTGGGGGTCACTACTCCTGATGAACTTGTAGACCAGGCCACAGCGAAGTTTCTCCCTCAGGGCCTTTGCACTGGCACTTCCATCAACTCAAGGCTCTTTTTCAGAGACCTTCTCTGTCCTTTGCTCCAGTGTCACCTGCTCTCTCAACTCACCATCCTATCCTGAGTCTCAGCCCTCACTGTCTGTACCTGGACTGCCTGTAACTAGCTCCTGGGCCTTGTTGGCTTAGGTGGGGGAAAACAGAAAAGGACTCCCAAAGATGGAACTCTTAAAACGGAAACCTGCAGGCCCTAAGAGGCAAGCCATGTGACACCACAGCCCCACGTTGGGCCACTGACATTCTGAAACCAGTTTGTTTCCCAATTCCCTGTTTTTTCTTCTTATTTCCAGGGCTGGAGATTGAACCCAGGGCCTTGTACAAGCCGGGGAAGAACTCTACCACGGAGCTCCGTCTCTAAGTTGCCAGGACTGGCCTTGAACTTGGGATCCCCCAGGTCCCTGGGATTATAGGCCTGCACGACCACGCCCCACTCAACCTGCTCAGGAGAGCCTCTCTGGCCTTGCTTTCCACATCCCCTCCTCTCACACCACACCAGGACCAAACCACGCTGCAGCTGCCACCACCCCCTCAGCTCCACCTGCCCGACTAGAATGTCCTCCGTCCCCTTGTCCATGCCCTCTTCAGCTCTCACAGGGCCTTCAGGACTGTCCTCACCCTGCATGTCTCTGGAGGCCCTTCTCATACCCAGCCTCTACGGGGAAGCTCTGGCTCCCTCTCAAGTTCCTCTCTCACTAATGGGCCAAGATGCTCAAAGGCAGGGGCTGCTGGATTCACCCGAGCCTCCTGAAGTACCCCCCGCACCCACTCAGTCTCAGTAAACACTTCTGCCGTGGCTCTGCCCGTCTTCCACGGGTCTGGGCACTGGACTTTGCCACACTGGATCCTTTCAGCAGCTTCTCGGGGAGACAGAGGCTGTGTAACCAACAGCATCATGAAGCGACTGCCTTCTCCCCTGAACAGCACAGCACAGGGCCCTGCTCCTTCTGATGGGAGATTAAAGAGCCCAGGGCCCTCACGGTTGGGTCCCCGTCATTATCTGATGGGGTACAGAGGAGACTCAAAACAAAGAAACAAGCGTCATGAGTTTCCACCTTCACAGTCCAGAGAAAAGAAAAGCAGAGAAATCTTTCACCCGGCAAAACACAAAGCCAAGCTGGAAGGTGAGCAAAGGTGAGGGGGGGGGGGGGGGGGGGGGGGAGCGGGAGGGGCCAGGACCCGGCCAGTGAGAAACGGGACAAGCCCCTAAACGGCCTCAGAGCTCCATGAGCAAGATGAGGTCTTGTGCTTTCAACCCAGGAGGCACTGGCCGACGATAACCTATTTACAGGGGAAGAAACTGAGGCAGAGATGCTGGGAGGCTGGAGCACCCCCCCCCGCCCCTACGCTCCCTGAGACAGGGGCTTTCAAAGGGGTCCCAGGACCCTCTGTCTAGCCTAAGCCCCCTAGGACCCGTTTACATTCTTGTCACTTTTCTCAGCTGTTTTCAAACTTCCTTATTTTTTTTTTTTTCCACTAAAGGAGACCTAGTAAAGCTGAGCCCTGTGGCAGCTAAGAGCGGAGGCTGAGCCCAGTTGGGACCACAGAGAGGGGACCTCCCCTACCTGTGACCTTCCTGAGGTTCCTTTAAAGCTGGCCATGGCACTGGCTTCAGGGAGGAGAGATGAGCATCTGGGCATGGGAACTCCCACCAGGTGAAACTGAAAGTACAGCCAGCTGCCACCTGAGCCTCGGGAGGGACTCACAGCTACCTGGGGCAGAAGGGGGAGGCTGCAGCATCCCCCTCCAGTGCCAAACAGTGACGCGACTACAGGCCACTGGGGTGGTGCTGGCCTTGAGAACCCACCTTGGGTCCCCTCCTTAGTTCTCCCTGCCTGACAACTGTGGTGTCAAATCAGCACAAACAAAAGTGACACTCGCTGCTTCCCATGTTTGTAAAGCCCACCCAGACCACAAAGGGGCCAACCACCTTGCACCCTGTGCCCCAACATAGGCCAAAGAAACAGGGTCACCTGGGTCCCAAAAATCAAATCGCATACTTTCCGTCAGTTGCAGGCTCCCAGAGGCACCTGCACCCCTGCTTTGCTAGTCTGGGGATACGAAAATCAGGTGAGAACACACTGCTATTTGTCCACCCAGCAGAGGTTAATGGGGACATGACCAGCATGGTCACCCTGCAGTTTCTCTGTGGAAGTGCTGGGTGGCTTCTGTTCCACAGCCAGTCCTTCTCCTGTCGTCTCAAGCCAACTTTTTTCTAAACATTTGTAGATTTCAACACCTTGGCATAATTAACGGGTACTCAGTGCCTCCTTCCCTCCAACCCCACCTGCCCGGTCCAGGTGTGTGTGGCTGCTCCCCTAGGGCCCTGCCTAGCCGGAAGTGGGGGCTGCTGGGCCTTGGCTCCTGGCGGTGACCAGGACAGATCATGCTGGCTGGTGGCTGCGCGGGCCACCAGGAACAGCGGTAGGAAAGAATAGTATGTCTGTGTAAAGAAAGGAACTGTCGCTTCCAAATCCTGGTGGCCCCCGGGAGGAACGGACCTGAGAACAGCGTTTGGGGGCAAGACCAGAGAGAGGGCAGAGAGGGCAAACGGGGCGCTGGTCAGGAAGGGTTGTCCCCTGCAGGCGAGGGCTCACGGTCGCCTACCAGGTTCCCGAGGAAAGGTAGCGATCAGATGGGGAAAAGGCTGAAGAGGCCCCACAAGAGTCAACTCAAGATTCCAGCGCCGGCCTCCAGGGCCAATTCAGGGAGCACGGGGCGGTGTCGGGCGGTGTCACCCCTAAGAAGCGGGGTGACAGCGTCTCCCGTCGCGCGGCACTTTCGGCAGAGCGAACCCGCCCAGCCCCAGCCGCGAGCGCGGACAGAGAGCAAAAGGCGCTGTGGCCGGGGTAACCGCGGGGCCGGCCTGGGCCCGGACCTGGGGAGTGCCGGGGCGAAAGAGGGTACTGAGCGAAGAGAGCACAGCCCTGCGGGGACGCCCGCTTACCCGGCCGTTGCGGTCGGTCTCCTGCACCTCCTCGACGCGCGGGCCCCGCCGCACCAGCGCCTGCAGCAGCCCCACGTCGTTGGCGCAGGCGGCGCGCAGGAAGGTGGCCGCCTCCGGGAAGCCCTCCGAGACGCTGTCCGAGCTCACCTCGCTGCACTCGTCCTCGCCTTCAGGAGGGTAGAAGGAATCGTCCGAAGCGATGCTGCGGGTGTCGGCCAGACTCGAGAAGTCCTCGTATTCCTCGTAGTCCGCTGGGTCGTCCCCGGTCTCCGCGCCCCGGGGTGCGGTCGGCGGCTGCGGGGACAAGCAACGCGCCCCGCCGCCCTCCGGCCCGGGCCCGGCCAGCAGCACCATGCTGGCGGCCGGGGCGCGGGCCGGGGGTCCCCGCGCGGGCCGGAAAACGCGGACGCGGGACGCGTACCGAGGTCACCGTTCCTCGCCCCGTGCGTCCCCAGAAAAGCAGTGGCCCGCGCGCTCCAGCCCGGCGGAAACAAGCGCCAGGCGGCTGCGCTCAGGAGAAGTCACTGGAGACTGGAGAAAAGCCCCTGGGGGTGGGAGGAGCCGCGGGGGCTTTCCGAGCGCGGCGCGGGCGGCTGCGGGCGGGGTAGAGGCTCCGCGGCGCGGGCGGGAGGGGCGCGTCCCTGGCGAGAGTTCAGAGCGAACCCGGGCCTCGCCGGACCGCGGGGACCGTAACCCAGCGGCTTTGCCCGGAGACGAGAAAGGCTCGCGCGGGAGAATCAGAAGCAGTAACTACAGCCAGCGTCTGGGGCGACGAGCGGCCCCGCCCCTCCCTCTACCGGCCCCCGGGGGACAGGGGCGGAGGTGGGGTCAGGGGACGCTGAGGGCCGAGCCCGCTTCCAACTTGGAAAACCACCATCCCCTGGGACTCGCCCCCTCCGAGGGCTCCAGGCCCCGGGGCCGGAGTGGGGGCATTTTTCTCTCGCCGCTGCCGAAGCTCAGAGCTCGTTTCGTCACCTTCAGGGAGCCCAGACTCCGGGACCAAGTCTGCCCCGGCCGTGGCCGCTTAAGGCCGGGGAATCCCCGGACGCACCGCTCGTGGAGTTCGGGTGCACGAGCGAAAGAAGCCGTTCCCTGAGGTCCCGGGCCGGTGGGGAGAAGGGTGCCCAGCCGGTGCTGCCCCTCTGAACCGTGGGCGATGGAGGGCTTGGCAGAGACCGCAAGTCGCGCAAAACCGGGGCCAGCCACGGCTTGCCGATGGGTCGGAAAAGAGCAATCCTGGGGAGTAGGGAGGCGTTAGGAACTTGGGGGGAGCATCTAGGTGGAAAGGATCTGCAACCGAACCGAGCCAAGAGGGACCCCACCCTCCCCGCCTCTGGGCAATGTCACGTGGTGGGTGGGATCTACAGAGTCGTGGCCGATCGACCCTGGAAACCAGTGACGGGGCCCTAAAGAGCTGAGAGAAGGGCCGCAGGCCAGGGCGGTCGACCAGGGGTCCAGACCTTACCCCCCAGGCCGAGCCTGACCTCTCAGTGTCTGGGTGCGGGTTGAGGAGGAAGAGCATGGGAGGTTTGCCAGAGAGCCCCTCGCTTTGGTGAGGTAGATGCGTCGTGACTCGTCTCCTAGTGGAAGAGTCCGTGCGTGTAGGCGCCTGGTGAGGACCTCCCGAGCCCCGGGTCATGGCCCTGTCTGACAAGCAGTGCCGTGGGTCACGGGACCGACCCGGAGACCACATCTCTACTCCGCCCACCCACCTCCTTTCCTTCCTTCTTTTGCGCCTATCTTCGTGGGCCCACCAGGTGCCAACTCGTGGGAGACCTTCGTCCAAAGAGGAACCACACTGTGCGGATGCAACCACCGGAGACGAGGCGTGGGGACCCCAGGCGCAGCAGGGCAAGCCGAGGGGCACCGGTGGGCAACTTGGTCCAAAATCCCCGGTTAGCGGTATGGGCCCCAGAGAGACTCTGAAGCCCTTGAACCCCTACTGCCACACTGCGCTGGGCCCAACACACTGTTGTGGTCACCCAGTGTCTTCCAGAGTCGCCAGATGAACAGGAATGACCTCTGCCCCAGAACCTGGCCGGGAAGGGTGGTGGGACCCAAGCAGCGATTTCTGGTGAAGACGAGTCCGCGCCTGAATGCACCCGGAGTTGGCAGAGAACCTGGCCTCGCCGGCTTCGCTCTGAACTCGGGGATTTCTTTCTGCAGCCAAAAACACCCCAGATAATGGTTTACTTTTTACCTTTTTCTGTAACTAGCTACAGATGCATAAATTCCCACTGGGAATTTCCCCTTTCAAGGTCGACAGTTCTTGTGTTAGCCTTTCCAAACGCCTGTTAAAAGCAGTCAGGGGACTTACAAATTGAACTGCCCCCTCCCGCCTGGGAGGTCCGGTTTGGTTAAAATAAGAACGCTGAAGGACAGGGCGCCCTGCCCGCATATACTTTGGGGGCGCTCTAAAGCAAGTTGGTCCTTATCACCCATGCCACTAAGCAAGGGAATTAAGGCTGTCTTCAGTGTTTACCACTTCCTTCTTTCCTTTCTTAGAAATATGAGTCCAAATAATACTGGAATGGTTTTCACTTAAAGATAAACAAGAGCAGGGGGTAGGTGTGCAGCTCAGGGGTAAAGCGCTTACCTAGCCTGCCAGGGCTCTAGATTCTGTCCCAGCACTACAGAAGGGTAAAAGGGAAAGATTAACAAGTCCCCGGCAAAGAACTAGCCCAAATGGGTCCCCACCCTCACCCCATCTTTTAAAAATAAACTCCATAAAGACAAAATATTCTCAACCTTTCTGGAAGACAGCTGAAAAACAGGTATTTTTGTAAAGCCAACATGTATATACTATGTGTACAAAACCTACATAGGAAGAGAAAATAGCTTAGAACTTCCAACTCAGGCTAACTTTGCAATCCATAACATTTCAAGGAATTGTGTTAAATTCTCCCAGATTGTTTTAACTTATGATTTTCAAAGATATACATTACACAATTCCTTCAGATGAATAATTTCTTTGGGGCCATTAAAAAAAAATCAGCACTAGTTTGGTTACCTTTCTGTGTCAGGTCTTTTAAAATTGCAAGCAGTGTACATCTTTTTAAAGATGAAAACAGAAGGTACCTATAGTGCCGTCCCCACCTTGTTTGGAAGATGGATGTAAACCCAAGCGCCCCACGTTCGTAAAATTAGCAGTCACACCACCTCGAGGGACGGGATGGAAGTTTGAATGACAATGGATTTAAGCCTTTGCACCTTTTGGAATTGAGCACACTGTAAGTGTTAAATTTCATTATTATTAAAAAGAAAGCATCCCTTCGCCTGATGGTACAAGTTGCTCTGCGGGAGCTGCTTCTCCAAATTTGTTGGCTTATTCACCAGGAGAAGCAGCCCACATGAAATGAATGAGAAATGCTTTTTATTTTGTGGTAGGGAAGGCTGCTTTGCTTGGGGTAAAGAGCACACTGTGGTATCAGACAAAGGAGCTTCTGATTATGGCTACACCAGCTATAAGCTGCAGTGATAGCTCCAATTCTGAAAGTGTTAACTTTGGGTATTCATTATTTGTTTCACCAATCTCCTAGTCCCCCACGCCCTGGTACTGGGGATTGAATCTAGGAAAGCTCTGCTACTGAGCTGTATCCTTAGCCCTCTATTTTTTATCTTAAAGTCAGGCTGGCCTCCAACTTGCCATCCTCCTGCCCCCAGCCTCCTGAGTCTCTGGTGTCCCACCACACCAGGCCAACCTCTTACTCTTGATGTTTAGGGTATTTCTAGCATTTTCTCTGATGTACACAAAGGCACCTTTTCCCAGGTGTTTCCTTGGAAGAACGACCCACCTTGAGTGGCTTGAGTTTCTTGAACTATAATATTTTGTTCATTGCTGTTATTCAAATATATGCTTCTAGAATATCAAGAAGAAACTTAAGATATACATGAAAATTCTCCTCAGGGAAAGAGACTGGAGCATGGTACCTTGGTCTTAGACAGGAAGATTTCAATGCAAACATTGGACTTGTCTCATACTGTTCTAGAATGATGTAACCAAATTCCAGTGGAGATTCTTGCTTGGAGGGGATCCTGTCCGTGAATTTAAAGCAGATCTCTTGAGGTATCTACATCTCACACATTCCTTTGCTGCTGTTGTTGATTGAGCTTTCCAAGAGTTGGTTTCCATGCTAGCAACTAAAAAAGCAAGTGAAGTGGAAAAAAAAAATTTTTTTTCTAAAAAAAAGTCAAATGGGACAAAAATATTAAATGTTGGAAAAACTTATTGTGCTGCCTTTTAAAAGGTGGTGGTTCATAGCCAAAATATAGAGAGATCTATAGAAAGTAAAGAAGAAAAACACACAGCATATGCATCCATTCTGTTAGCTCCTGCGGTCTCCCGATGGCCAAAGAAACAAAGCTCATCAAAATGAGAAAGGCCTCCCCGCTGCCTTTGTGGGGCTGAGGAACCTGCCAGGGAAACCCGGGCAGCTTTCTTCCAAGAGTGGACAGAGGTAGTCTAAGCTCAAAGAAAGGAAAAGGATTTAGGCCTTGGAGTTGGGCTTCGGAGAAAAAAAAGAAAAAAGAACAGGAACTCGAGGCAGACTTGGCCTGGGCAGTGATGCTGGGACCTGGCTCCAGGGGCTGACACTTCATTTTCCTGAACCCACCTTCCTCTCCGAAACTCAAAGGCTGGAGCCTTTGAGGTTCTCAACAGGTTCCTCCCGCTCTGCCACTGCCTCCAGAGAAGCCCTAGTTAATGAGGGACAGGACGTCTCTTACGTACTCTTTTTTCAAAAGCAATTCAAGTAAAACCAAAATGATTTGTTTTAGAATTTTTGCAAATTTCCCTGAGTTGTCCGCACTAAGAGGAAGTAACCTTGAATGTCTCAAGTCAACCTGAGAATGGCCAGACCAGATACCACTGAGATCCGCTGGGAATACAAAGAAAGCTCCCTCTGTGAACGTCTGGATCTCCTGCTGAAGAGATCGTTGCTGTTTGACCCTTAGATTCCTCCTAGTAGAATCAGATTCCCATAGCCGTGAAGGAACCTCATTTCCTTTGAGGGAAGTATTCTGCCTGTGTGAGCAAATATTGGAAGACGTAAATGCCTGTGACACTTAACTGCCAATTCTGCAGTCTTCTCCGACTGGAATTAACAATAGTGGGCGTGACAGGAAAGCTCCTTTTACTCTCAGGACAAAAGACTTGGGTCCTCCTTTGAATCAAGGTTGATGGAATTTAAAGACCACTCCTGGGAGGCTTATATGAAGTGACAACCTCTCTAGTTCCTCTCCCAAGAACAGGAAAAACTCCACCCTTCTCCCAATCACTGGCCCTGATAACAGTGCTCATTATTCTGTTTTCCAATGCATTTTTGTAAAACTGTCATCTCCCTTTGTAACCTGAG